TTCCATTTAACCGTTTTCTTTGACCAAGGAAGGACAGTGTCCTCGTAAGCAAGGCGCCTGCCATTGAGAAACATCCACAGCGTTTATCAGCTGTGGACAAACATCTGATGGAGATCTTCTAAGAGATTCATTCAAATCTGTCCAGCGGCTCATGAGATATTTAGCTAACAAACACAAGTACAGACAGGCATAAGCAGTAACACCCACATGGAGGCTTGTTAAAGCAGCATGAAGGGCTCATTACAAAGTCCCATTTTAGTCAAATTACTGAGAACTTTTTTCTGTCCCTCGCTGTCTTTGTGTCCTGAACGGTAGCAGCTCACAGCGGGAGTAAAATGAGGATCTCATCATAATCACAGAAATCATGTTTCCACACAAAACAAAATAAAGATTCACCACCCACAACCTGCTCCCTTCTTCTTCTGTTGTCTGAGCAAAGCCAGCCAACAAATTTCCAACTGAGTCGAGCAAAAAAGAAAAAGAAGCCTGTCAGACAGATCAGATGATACACAAACATGGAGCCGGGGGTAGCCTGCCTGTCAGGAGATCAACCCAGATTCCACCAAAGGCAACAACAAACACTTGACTAGGTGTAGTTGGATCAATCTACCTCCCTTTTCCTTTTCAAGCTTTGTTTTGTTTACTTGTTTTTTATTTGACTGTTTCCTGTCCTGTCTGTCAGATCTTCCTGCACCTCCTCTCAGTCCTCCAGAAAAACTGCTGCCTGGCTTCCTACTTTTTCACCTCATGATTTACTTTTGAACTAAGCAGATCAAAGGGAGCTACTGATCAAAATAAGTCTCGGTACGCTGAGAGTAATATAATAAAGGTTCAAACTGGATGTTTTTTGGGCTCCCCCTAGGTGTGTCAGTCGAGGGCCTCCGGGGAGCCCGGCTCCCCTGAAAAGGTGACGGGCTCCCCCTAGCTCTCCTGTAATTTGAACCATGCATAGTGCCATTGGGGTAAACTGGCCAATTAGCCTGCAGCAAATTTTAATTGAATGTCCTGACCGAGTGGGAGGGGTTAACCAGTCTTTTCTTTGTAGGACTATATTACGGGGTTGCGTTTGGCTCCTGGGCCATTTTGAGCCCCAACAAAGTTTCATTTGACATGAAGCAGCGCAAAAGACAGTTTCCTGTTGTAAAATGCATTACTCCCATATTTTAAATTTAGTTTGCTGATCTGAACAGTTTAAACAGAACATAATATACCTCTTATTAAACCAGTTATAATACTTCTATGGTCCAATCAAAACACGTTTATGAAGTTATTTGCATCAAATCCACATAAAGCAATCTCCCAGCTCTATTCGTGACACTTTCTGTGCCTTTCCACAATGAGCCATTTCAGAGCTCTGTCACTCAAACTCAAACACACCATGACTGGCCACGCCCACACATCCCCTGATTGGCTTCTCTGTGACGAGGAGCTTGGCTATCCAGGAGGGGCTCAGAGTTGAGCTGCTGCTCCTCCAGCATTGACATGTGCGGGGGTTTCCATTGTAATTTTCCTTATTGTGATGTCACAATCAGGGACCTTTACAAACAGCTTGTAGAATGATGATTCCTGAAACCAAACACAAATGGATGTTATTGTTCATGTTTGGAGTGTGTGTAGAGGCAGTGGAGACCCATGTGGCAGCACGATGGGATGCAAATAGGGAGATTTACATAATTTGTCCCCTTTAAGTGACAAAAACACAAAAAAGTCTAATCTTTGATATTTTCACACCCTGTTGTTGGGTTCCTCAGAGAGACTTTAGAATAAAATGCATAATAATAATAACCTGGTTGCTTGTTTGTGTCATGAGCTCTGTGTTGTTCCAGCACTGATTCAGCTTTGTTTTTGTTTAAATGCTGTTTTGTTTCAGACTCACTCGAGTAAGTCTCTCTGTCTGTGGAGCTGTCTCCCAGTTTCCCACCGATCTGAGCTCAGTTATATAACCAAAGTCCACAGATCTGGCAAATGAAAACCTGCTACTGAAATGATCGATAAAGAGCGAGTGAGTGTTATGTAAGAAAGGAGGAACAGCGGCTGTCTGAAACACATATTCTGTGTTATCTTATAAAACTGCTCGTTTATCATCTCCAGCAGTAATTCAGCTTCTATTTTCTCACATCTGCTGTTTTCTTTGTGATGATTTCAAATGAGCACGGAAAATGGCTAAAAACGCTCATCTGCCATGTTTTAGATCAACCAGTTGTGTCTTATTTGTGTTACACAGCGTTTGTGATTCCAATAACAGCTTCTCATCATTTCTCATGTATTTTTGTTGATTTCCATGAAACATTAAACTCCATCATGTGACAGGAACGGACTAGAACGGGATGAGGGACAGCGAGGCTGATCAGGGTAAAGTACAGCAAGGATGACTTTTCCCCTGGATTTATTTTGGGAATGGTCCAGGAGACGATGGGAAATTTCTACATGTTGCAGGAGACGAGAGTTGAGGTCAGAGACTTCTTTGGTCGAAAGAGCGAGGAAACGTCTGCTGACCGGGAACTCCAGTTTTCTAATTCACGACTCAGCAGCAGGAGGGTGTAAGTGGCAGGATGAAGGCAGGAAGCTCAAACGTGTTCAGAAAAAAGGTCCCCGGTTTGATTCTTACAACTGCCTAGAGCGCCGTTGAGCAACGCAGGGGGGTATCAAAGACAAATATATGATTTCTTCTCCTAAGTTTATGAACATCGTTGACTGAAAGAATTTTATTGAGACTCCTCTCCATCTAAAGCAGGGGTGTCAAACTCAAACTCACAAGGGGCCGAAATGAGACTCTGGGACGGAGTCGAGGGCCAAACTTAATATTTTTTGAAAAAGTGACGGCAAATTTGCACATTTTCTTTATCAATATATATACATATATGCAATTTTGAACCTTTAAATTTGGAAACAAACATATGTCTGCATTAACACTGAATGTGGAATAACCAAATGACACACGAGCAAGTCAGTTACAAATAAAACACATCAGTGGTATTCATTACTTGTGGTATAATCAGCATTTTAAAATCTATTCAGGATTTATGTTTTCTTGTTTATTCATTTTTCTTATTTTTATTCTCCTTTTTTCTCCTGTAATACGTGTCATCGCTGCTGTGACGTCTAGCTTTCCCCACTGAGGAACAATAAAGGGATTTTCTATTCTATTCATCTATCTGCAGCCTTTCCACTTCCTGTTTACTGTAGGTTAAATCTTTTCTCACGGGCCAACAACAAAATAAAAATATCATTTTATCTTAAATGAAAATGCAACATCTCACCTGTTAACTTTCATGTTTTGGAGCAGAAAAAGAGCATAAAACCAACATATTTAAAGCTCAGTTTGCTCCACTGGTTTACTGTGATGCTCACCTGTTCCAGCCAGATACCTGCATCATGGGGTTGATCTGAGCTGAGGAGGAGACTCCTGTTGTTTTGTTCATCTTCATCATAATAATGACAACATTAGATGACAACAGGAGCTCACATAGGTTTGTGCTGCTGAACATGTCTGAGCAGCTTGACCACGTTGTTGTGTGTCGGGGAGGAAACACAATGACAGAGTCGTGCTGGTTTGAGCGTGTCGCTGCTCGCTGGAGTTATATCAGCTCTGTCTGGAGGTTAGTTGGAACACTTTCTCTTTCAGTTGTGAACACATTACTGAGCGGCTAGAATCTCCGTTTCTGGGCTTCAACGTCAGAAAACAGCTGAGTGAACTCGGCGCTGAGTGAGAGGAGTGTAGTTTGTCCGAGACAGCGGAGCTGCAGACACCCAACTACCCCTGACTGCCTCGGCGCTGAAAAAACACAAAGGAGGGGGCGCGTCTGCTCCGTGCTGGCGCCGCAAAGCATCATGGGAGTTGTAGTCTTTGCGGTAAAATCGGCCAGCGGGCCAGTTTTAATATATTTTTGATATTTATCTCGCGGGCCACATAAAAATGCTCCGCGGGCCACATCTGGCCCTGGGTCCCATCTCCCCAGGTTCCACCTCCTAATCTCTCCACCACAGCTAATATCGGCTACATTAGCCAATGAAATGTGGCTACATCTCGGTCAGTTTTGCTGATAAAGCGCTAAGATTTGGTATTTTAAGCAGAGGCGTGTCCAGGGGGTGGCCTGGGGTAGCATATGCTACCCTTGGAATGTGATTGGCCACCCCACTGAATTTCCTTTAAATAGACTTGACCACAAAAAGTTTGGGGTAAAAAAGAAAAAGTATAACCATTGGTGCCACCCATGCATAAAGAAGTGTACTACCTGGGCCACCCCATTTTAAATGATCTGGCCACGCCACTGATTTTAAGCCTGTTTCACACTGTTTGGTTTTTGGCCACCGTAACGGACCACCTCGTGTCACACTGCAAGCTCTAGCGAGGTGGCACACTGTATGGCTCAAGATTTCAGTGAGTGCAAAGCTAAAGCTAACGAGCATACATTGGTAAAAAGGAAAGAAAGCGCTAGCACCAACGCTTCTTTTATTGTTAGATATAAAGAGAGGGCTGTGGCTTACTGCTCATGTTCACACTGCTACTGGTGCATCGTTCTCTCGTCACTCCCTGGGTGCATTTTCATTGGTCGATTGGAGACTGAACTAGATTTTCTAACTCTGCTTGAAGTCTGGGTTTGATCATGAGAGTGGACCTGTCTCCATGGACGACCAGAGACCTGAGAATCACACTCACCTGCACCGTTTCTCATTGTGTCTCTATTTATGATGAAAAAGAGCCGGAAAACGCTCCGTGAACCGGACTTTAGTAGTGAATCGTTTCTAACAGGAATTCCAACAGATCCCATAATAGCTTGAGATTAAGGCGGGAAATTGCTTCAGAGAGCTTTAAGAAGTCTCAACTAATGTCCATATTTGGGAGACATGAAATGAAAACATCATCCATTCTGCAGCCTTAACCTCCTACAGATCATGAGCGACTGCAGGCTGAAGTGTTTTTAGAGTCTGAGAGCCAAGTCATCGTTTTAAAGTGAGAGACTGAGATGAATGTCTTCTCCTCCCCGTTCTGTGTGCAGTTATTTACATCTGTGGGCCCCTGAGAACGTTCCTGAGCATCATGAAGCTGTTCCAGAGTGAGATCCACGACCCTGAAAACTACGCTATCTTCTACCTGGACGTGTTTGCAGAAAGTTTGGCGGATGGTAAACCGTGGCAGCAGCCGAACTTCGACTTGCCCAACCCCATCGAGGTCTTTAAGGTAAACGAAACCCGGATCATGTAAACCTTGTCTTCCTGCTTCTGTAACTGGGAACGAAACCCTGGAACTGCGTGACTTCATGAATGTTCATTCACGAGGCTGAGGCCAAACGCACAACTACAGATAAACAACGGTGACACTTTAATGCCGCGTGTTTATGGAAAGCCGAAGTTCCACCGGCTTTTGCTGGAGTGGTTGGAGGCGCCTCCACCACTTTAGGAAGTGAAATTCCCAAGTGACATTAGTGAATCAAAGGACGTATTGTCACAGGAAGACATTCGGCCTCCACTAATGAATGAAGTCGTACACCCTCAGAGATGCATTTGTCAATTTATCTCCTTTAATGTCACACAGGCCTGCCTTAATTGTCTTAATTTATTCTTCACAAAGTTCAGAAGGAAGAGTTGTTTTCCGGAAGCATTACAGTAATTAGACTTGATGGTATTTTAGTATTGACCCTTTGCACCGACGTCACCTAACCACGTGGGTCCACCATGGTGGACGGCAAAAGCGTGTAAATAGTGAGCGACACGGTTACTAAACAGAGGGAAAAGTAGAGCCTGAAACTGTTTTTGCGATCAAAACAAAAACAAAACTGCTCCAGCATTCCTTCAACTAGTTCATGCCCAGTTCAGTTATCAGAAGAAGTAGCGCATCTAGCGGGGGCTCATAGAGAGCGGTATGCTAACTAGCTTACCAACGTTAGCTTACGTTCTCTCTGCAGCTGTTCACCGATGTAAACATGTTGCTGACTTTGCCTAAATTCACCTCTCTGGATTTATAACTTTATGTTGTAAACAGCGTTTCACTTCACACCAAAGCTGATTGTTAAAAAGTCCGGATCCCTACCAGCTTCTGTTGCTGGTGGTGTTACCGGGTTCAGCTGCTGCTCTCACACCGGAATGAGAAGAGCTCTGAACGCCGACGCTCATATAAATAAATAACGTCATTTTAACACACTTAATCATACATCAGAGCTTTAATATTGTTAAAGGGACTTTATGGAGTTTTGAATGTTTATGCTCGCAATTGCCCCCTCAGGCCAAAAGTGTAACGGCAGCTTCAATAGTAGGCTCGTGCACGAGGCGCGCATGCTGTATGTGCACACTCCTTAACGAAAATAACAGCTGAGACAGTCCCTTGTGTGTGTGTGTGTGTGTGTGTGTGTGTGTCCCGGAGGGCAGAGGACAGGACAACGTGCAGCTAATTAATTAAATAATTTGGTTCTGTACCTTTCTCTTCAGCACAGCCGACAAAGGTTTATGATGGGTCAGTCCTCCTGCATGCTCAGATCATTCCCTTCCCTTGCTTGAAAAATTGTTCCAAAATGAAAGTTGAACCCACATCTTTTTTATCTGTGAATTCAATGCCGTTCGGCGAGTCTCAAATAAAAATTTGGGCGTCTTACTGTAAAAAAATATACCATTAATGTAAAAAAGAAACACTAAATAAACTATGTTCACATCCAGAATCAAACCCGAATCTACCACATGAGAATCCGACAACTTACCAGGTGAGCTATAGCACCAGCCAGGGGTGGACTGGCCTATCTGGCATTCTGGCACTATCCCGGTGGGCCGCTTAGTCAAGTGGGCCACTTGCCCAGCTTGGGCCGTCCCAAACCAAGCCCCCGTCTCACATGCGACAATAGAGACAAGTCTGCGAGCAGCACACACAACACCCCGTCCCTCCCCCCACATTTGGCGGGATAGATGAGTCGCAAGCAGCAACCTCCCCTGCCGAGGGCCGACGGTTCATAAAAATGCCAGGGCCAAATTTTGGTCCCAGTCCACCCCTGGCACCAGCAATATACTTTGTATCTGTAACGTTTATATCCTTGATGACAGCTGAAACAACGTCAAACCAAAGAACGGTTGGGAGTGAAAATGGCTATTTTGTTGCTAATTTGCAGGAAATATCTAGAAGAAAGTTCTACAGAAAGTAGCTAAGGGTCCTCAGAAATGTAGCTGCTTTGTCACTAGGCGTTAGGAACAGCGACAAAGTGGCACTGCCTCTCTCTCTGCTGCTAAAGCTACGGATAGCAAATGCTACGGGCGATGCCTGAGCGTGAACGCGCATGAAGCAGCCTGCTCGACCCGAGCATCTCTCTTTTTCTGTGATTTTACAGAAAAACAGGCAATCACAGTAAAAATGCCAGGGCTCATTCTACAGGACCAGGGCATTGCAGGAGAACGTATGAAGAAGGCATTTATTATTTCTATACATGTTTTGGCTGTCACACTTCCATAATGTCCCTTTAATAATTGTCTCGCTTTACACTACAGAGGACGGAGCGCAGCCTCCGTGGTGAAATACCCATCCATCAGGATTATCAATAACTAGTATAAACACATCACATTTATCCCTGTCCCTGTCTTCCTTGTCAAATAAATGAACGTTAATCTTGCCCGCTAACAACACGTTCGCTGCTAATCTGAGGCCTGCTAGTCCGCTTGATTGATCGCTGCAGTTCATCTCCGTCCTCAGTCTCCATCAAAGTTATTAAAAAAACAAAACGAGTCGAGTTTACGTCCTCGTCTGTTAGTGCAGCCAAGGCAGCAAGCTAAAACCATTTTACTGTCAAATCAACTCAATAAAAGCCATAAAAGGCTACAATCTGGCTTGTTTTGGCTAGCTTCACTGGAGTTTCTACGGGTGTAAACGGTCTTTTTGCCGTCCATCATGGTGAAGGGGGCGGTCACATGAGTGGCGTGACGTCACGTGCAAAGGGTCAATAGAGGCTGTTCACAAAGTCTCAGATTATCTAATTTGTTAAAATAGAGTTTATAATCCACAGTTTGAGTCAGGAGTACATTTCTGATCAGCTGTAGTCAGATTAAAACATCCTGTCTCTGTACACGTTTCAGCCTGTAGCTAATATGAAATTATAGCTCTGTCATCTGGTTTAAGAAATAAACAGATGTAATCTAATTAAATGCAGTCTTACAGCTTCATAATCTGCTGACAGCTCTAACAGGTTCGCTTCAGAGCGGATAGCTTAGCTCCTTAGAGCCTAAAGCTAACATGGAGAGAGTCACGCATCTAGCCACTAAAAACTGTGGTCACCGTTCAGAGCTGAGCTCCTATCTAACACTGCTTCAGGCTTCTTACATGACTTTGCTGTTTTAAGGATTAGTGTTGACTAGTTATCGTTGGATCTGCCTGTCGTGGTAGCAATCCCCGAGCCGGCTGGTGGACACCAACGGTTAGGGATGCTGTCAAGCGGAAGAAAAAGTCCTATCAGGTATATTTGCCCTGTGGGACTCCAGAGGCAGCTGATGGGTACCAGCAGAGGTTGTGAAGGCAACACCCGGGCATGGGAGCGCTTCGGTGAGACCATGGAGCAAGACTTCCGAAAAGCTTAGAGGAGATCCTGGTCCACCATCCGGTACCTCAGGAGGGACCGGTGTCAGAGCTTGGTCTGCATTACCGGCAGTAAGTCGGGCTCATTTCCGGTGAGAGTTGGTCTCCGCCAAGGCCGATTTTCACCGATTCTGGTCATAACCTTTATGGACAGGATTTATAGAAGCAGCCAAGGTATGGAGGGCATCCGTTTTGGTGGCCTGAGGATCAGATCTCTGCTTTTTGCAGATGATGTGGTCCTGTTGGCTTCATCAGAACGTGATCTTTAGCTTTCACTGGAGCGGTTCTCAGCCGAGTTTGAAGCAGCTGGGATGAAAATCAGCTCCTCTAAATCTGAGACCACGGTCTTGATTCGGAAAAGGGTAGAATGCCTTCTCCGGGTCAGGGATGAGGTCCTGCCCCAAGTGGAGGAGTTTAAATATCTCGGGGTCTTGTTCACGAGTGAGGGAAAACTGGAGCGTGAGATCGATAGGTGGATTGGTGCTGCATCTGCCGTGATGCGGGCGTTGTACCGGTCTGTCGTGGTGAAGAGAGCTGAGTCAGAAGGCGAAGCTCTCGATTTACCGGTGGATCTACGTTCCTACCCTCACCTATGGTCATGAGCTTTGGGTAGAGACGGAAAGAACGAGATCATGGATACAAGCGGCTGAAATGAGTTTTTGCTCCGAAGAGTGGCTGGGTTCTCCCTTAGAGATAGGGTGAGAAGCTCGGTCATCCGGGAGGGGCTCGGAGTAGACCCGCTGCTCCTCCACATCGAGAGGAGCCAGTTGAGGTGGCTCGGGCATCTGGTCAGGATGCCTCCTGGACGCCTCCCTGCAGTTAGAGGGATCCTAGATTGGGAAAACAGGAAACATGATCCTGAAGAATGGCTACTGAGCAGAAATCATCACAGGGAAAATTTCTGTCCCTTAAAAAAACTGAAATTCAAAAATCTGTTTTTCAGAGCTAAATTCTTATTCATCAATATTTATTTTGCACTTTCTCACCAGATGAGCATCAAACATGCATTAGCGTGTACATATAGCATTAGCATACATTGTCATAATAACCATGTGTGCAATAGCTGATTAAGAGGGACACTTTTGTGCTGTCATGTGGGTCTCTACTGCCTCTGTAAACACACCAGTGGTGAAAAAACAACAACTTTCATCTGTTTAATGCAAGTGTTTCCAAAAAGTCCCTGTTTGTGGTGTCACAAACGAGGAAATTACAACAGAACCACATCTTACATGCAGGAGAGAGCTCCTGCTGGAGGAGCAGCAGCTCTACACCCAGCCCCTCCCAGACATCAGAGTTTCTGAGCTTGCAGCAGCCAGAGCGGGGCGGTGGGGCGTGTATGGGGTGTAGCTCAGGAGGAAGAGCGGGTTCCAAAAGGCTGCAGGTTCGATCTCGGCTCCTGACAGAGATTTCTGCTGCGGTCCTTGGTCAAGACACCTAATCCACCTTTCCTGCTGGGGGTCGGAGGGACCGGCGGCGCCTGTGTTTGGCAGGCCTCCCCTCTGTCAGCGCGCCTCAGGGCAGCTGTGGCTACGATGTAGCTCATCTCCACCGTGTGAATGTGGTTGTGAATGGATGAATGCTACTCTGTAGTGTAAAGCGCTTTGGAGTCGTCTGACTGTGTGTGGATTGTTTGTCATTAGTCCCGGCCTTCCGTGTTAACACAAGTCTGCATGTGTTAAAGCTCGAGTCAGGCTTGTCTGTTTAGATGTTTACGTTTAAATTCAAACGCGACCTCCATCAGACTCCGGTGCTGGGGTCTGGGCCTGAGGAGCCGGGGTTGTGCTAGCTGAAGATTAAACTTTCAGGAATGGATTAAAAATGTGCAAAAACGTTGGATTTGAGAAACGTCTTCCTGCTGTGTGAAAACATCTGATGATTCATGGAAACCTTCAGACTTTTATTGTTTCTTCTAAAATAACAAATCGTAGTTTAGGTTTTCCAGTTCAGGATTAAACGTGATGCAGTCAGAATAATCTGCTAATCTGTAGATACGATTTCTCGTGAGTTGGTGTTGGTTTCCAGTCTGCATGAAAATCTGGGTCAATCACAAACGGGTCGGCACATTATTGATAAAAACTTCCGTTGTTTTTGTTTTCTTTCTTCTTCTGAAATCGCAGAAGCTTAACAGCTTTCCTGTTAAACACACTCATCTTGCTGGAAGACCGCCCGAACCACAGATTGTGACGTTCTCTTCACTGTTTTTGCTCCACGTTGAACGTGCGACTGTCTGCAGGTCATAACAGGGATTATTGTGGCAACGCGCCCCCTTAGCAGCAGCATGTGGAGCGTTGTGGTGAGCTGCGTGGTCGTAACACGAAGAAAAAGAACGATCTGACGCGTTTCGGCTGAACAGCAGTTGTGACGAGGCTTGTTTTGGAGGCTGCAGGTAGACGGGAGGAGGATCAAAGATCAGAGCTGGTAAATGTTTACTCTGAAAAGTAACGCAGCAACAAGCCAAATGACCTTTTAGGTGATTTTGAAATTTACTTCAGTCCTTATTTTAGTAAAATACCTTTAGCTGCATCTGTTCTTCCTTCTGTTTAAGCGTGAACTCTGCTTTTATGTGATTTACATTCAAAACAACAAGGCGGTCTTGGTGGATTAAAGATGGGAAATGAGCAAATGTGCATTTGATAAATTGTAAATGGTCTGTATTTGATATAGCAACTTCTAGAGTCCTGGAACCCCCCAAGGCGCTTTACAACACAATCAGTCATTCGCCCATTCACTCGCTGGTGGTGATGAGCTACGATGTAGCCACAGCTGCCCTGGGGCGCACTGACAGAGGCGAGGCTGTCGTATACAGGCGCCACCGGTCCCTCCGACCACCACCAGCAGGCAACGTGGGTTAAGTGTCTTGCCCAAGGACACAACGACAGCGACAAACTGAGCAGGGCTCGAACCTGCAACCTTCTGATTACGAGGCGAGCGCTTAACTCCTGTGCCACCGTCGCCTACAAACATTTGTCTTGCTTTTGTCGCTCCTTGAAGGATTGTCGACATCTTTCTAGAGAAAACAGAAATCTGTGCTGTGGCTGATGGCGACAAACTCCGAACAGGGGGCTTATTACCCCACCCATGTGTTTGAGAGGCTGGGCCGGACCCACGGGGGCAGACGCGTATTTACTTAAAGGGACGTTATGGAAGTGTGACAGCCAAAACATGTATAGAAATAATAAATGTCTTCTTCATACGTTCTCCTGCAATGCCCTGGTCCTGTAGAATGATCCCTGGCATTTTTACTGTGATTGCCTGTTTTTCTGTAAAATCACAGAAAAAGAGAGATGCTCGGGTCGAGCAGGCTGCTTCATGCGCGTTCACGCTCAGGCATCGCCCGTAGCATTTGCTATTCGTAGCTTTAGCAGCAGAGAGAGAGGCAGTGCCACTTTGTCGCTGTTCCTAACGCCTAGTGACGAAGCTAGCTACATTTCTGAGGACCCTTAGCTACTTTCTGTAGAACTTTCTTCTAGATATTTCCTGCTAATTAGCAACAAAATAGCCATTTTCACCAGGGGCGTGTCCAGGGAGTGGCCTGGGGTAGCACATGCCACCCTTGGAATCTGACTGGCCACCCCAGGTGCCACCACACTAATTTACCTTTAAATAGGCTTTTCATTGTCCACAAAAGGCTTGGGTGTAAAACAAAAAAAGCATAACCATTGGTTTCACCCATGCACAAAGTTGTGCCTCACCTGGGCCACCCCATTTTAAAAGATCTGGACACGCCACTGATTTTCACTCCGAACTGTTATTTGGTTTGACGTTGTTTCAGCTGTCATCAAGGATATAAATGTTACAGATACTGTGAATGTTACTAGAGTGTAGCTTACCTAGTAAGATGTCTGACTCTCATGCAGAAGACCTGGGTTTGATTCTGGATGTGAACATAGTTTATTTAGAGTTTCTTTTTTACATTAATGATATATTTTTTACAGTAAGATGCCCAAATTTTTATTTGAGACTCGCCGAACGGCATTGAATTCACAGATAAAAAAGATGTGGGTTCAACTTTCATTTTGGAACAATTTTTCAAGCAAGGGAAGGGAATGATCTGAGCATGCAGGAGGACTGACCCATCATAAACCTTTGTCGGCTGTGCTGAAGAGAAAGCTACAGAACCACATTATTTAATTAATTAGCTGCGAGTTCTGCTGTCCTCTGTCCTCTGGGCCCCACACACACACACACACACACACACGCACGCACGCACGCGCGCACGCACACACACACACACACGCACGCACACGCACGCACACACACACACACACACGGGACTGTCTCAGCTGTTATTTTCTTTAAGGAGTGTGCACGTACAGCATGCGCGCCTCGTGCACGAGCCTACTATTGAAGCTGCCGTTACGCTTTTGGCCTGAGGGGGCAGTCGCGAGCATAAAAATTCAAAAGTCCGTAAAGTCCCTCTACGGGGGATTTCATGAAAATCTTTAAAGTTCTGCCGGGCACGTGAACAAAAGCAGAACTGACAAACTGACCTCATTTACGCAGAGTACAGATCTGATGTGGAGCAGAATCCGAGCGGCGTCTGGACGAACTGCTGACTGCAAATCGTGTGACCAACGTCTCCGGGAAGTCTTCCGGAAACATCACACACTGTGAACCGATGTCCCTGTCATTAATGACCACAGTAGTGATGTGTCGGTCGCGAACGAACCGGCTCTAAGAGCCGACTCTGTGAAGTGAACGACGGGAGCCGGCTCGTCATTAGGAGCCGTCACCCCCCTCAGCCCCCCCCGCTTTGGTGAAAGTTACAGCCGATTGGTCAGCATGTGTAACTGCGTGTCCAAACTGTCCACACACAGAGCAGTAGGGGCGGGGAAGAGGGAGGATCAGACTCAGACCGGGCGGAGGGAGACGAGAGGGAATGAGTGCGATGAAGACGGTGAGAAAATGAGCGACAGCAGCCGGAGATGTCTTAAAGTGTTCAGTTAATAAATCCATAGAAATGATAAATATTTGATATACTGCATTTTTTTACATTAGTAAATCATTTTACATGTAGTTTTGCATTATTTTGGTTATAAATGTACTCTACACAACAGAAAATCTGAGGAGCCACTTGGGAGCTGAAAGAGCCGGCTCTCTAAAAAGAGTCGGAATTCCCATCGCTAGACCACAAATAGACAGAATGATGCAACATGGGTTTTATCAGCCAATCAGCTGGCTTTATCAGAATATTCATGCAGATTTCCATTGGTCATTTATAGCAGAAAGTGGGTGGGAGGCAGGATTCATAAAGCTGTGCGTAAGCAGAGATTTGGAAAGTTTCATAAACGAAGCCCGAGTCGCTGTATTCCTGTATTTTACGGAAGGTTTTAGTGAATTCCTGCATGCAGGAAACCTTTAGGCTGCACGATGCACCAAGCATCTGTCTGTATTCCAGCTCTGCATGCAGACAAACCCCCACACCAGCTGGTATATTAAAACAAAAAAATGTTGTTTGTTAAATAATAAAATGTGATTCATCAAAACTATCGTCGTGGCAGCATTTTAGACGAGCAGCTAAACGTAGAGCGGCCCCGTCGTCTGTTCAGCTCTGGATTTCAGACCCTCTTTGTGTCTCCTTCCAGTCTGTTTTCGTCATCACGTACCACCCTCCGGATAATCCCGAATACCGGGACTTTCAGAGGAAACTCCACACCCGAGCTCAGAGGGACTTCGGCGTTCGCTTGGAGCCGTCGTTGGTAAGTCTCTGCCTCTTTAACTTTTTACATCTGATTCTGCATCCCGCTGAGCCGGATAGTTGTCTGTGCTTGATGATAAATGATCTTTACGACGCTGTTAGCAGCTGCAGACGTTTTTTATGAGCATCTCATAAAAAAATACAAAACCATGAAGTTGTTGGAAGAAAAAGTCCTGATGTGAAACCCTGGCAGGAAGATAAGCAGCCTCCATCACTCGGGCGTGTTTTGATCAAACCTCGTCTTGCAGATGGACTACATCGCTGGCAGCTTCTATGACGGCTTCTTGTTGTACGCCATGGCCTTGGAGGAGACTCTGGCGGAAGGCGGAGCCCAGAACGACGGCATCAACATCACGATGAGGATGCAGAACCGCCGTTTCTGGGGTGAGCTGATGTCCACATTGTGTGCATTTAGAACAAATCACGGAACATTTATCCTGGATGTTAGACAAACACTGAGCTCTGGTTTACATCAGTTATCTCGCCACAAAGCAGCATTACGGAAACTAATGGGCCATTCCCATCTGTACCGGGTCGGCCCGGGCCGGGTAGCGTAGGTTGTTTACATATCTGGGTGGCCTGGTATTTTTCCGGGCCAACCAAGGCTCATTCTCAGCCCTCTTCTGGAGGGGGTCTGCTTCAGGCCGACCAGGGCCAACACACCCACTGCTGACAGCAAATTCACACCTTCCATTAGAGCAAGCCTCTGATTGGTGGGTAGAATCAGCCCACATGGGCTTAAGACAAGGATGTGTGGAATCAACCGGGCCAGGCTGGGGCCGACTGGGGCTACCCGGCCTGGGCCGACCCGGTACAGATGGGAATGGCCCATAAAACACACCAGCGACCCCAGAACGAGACTGAGATGATCAGAAGTATTCAGGTCTGACTGACGATGATCACCAAACCCAGCATAGATGGTTGAAGAAGAAGAAGAAAATATCATGTCTATAGCGCCTCTCAAGATAAAAATCACGAGGCGCTTCACAAAAACAAAACATGTAAAAATATAAAAAATAATTTAGAAAATTATTTAAAAATATATTAAAAATGAGCAAAAATAGACAATTGTGATAAAAAAATGTAAAGAAAGAGAGAGAGTGAACAGGAAAGAGGGAAACCAGTGGATCCTGAGGAAGGTGGAATAGGTGGGGAGAGCAGAATAAAGAGAGAGAGGTGAAGAAGGTCATACAAAAGCCAGCTTGAACAAGTGAGTCTTCAGCTGCTTTTTAAAGGAGACCACTGAGTCCACTGATCTCAGGCTCAGGGGGAGAGAGGTCCAGAGTCTGGGGGCCACAGCAGCAGATGATCTGTCACCTTTGACCTTTAGCCTGGTGCTGCACAACCAGTAGGCTTTGGTCACTGGACCTCAGGGACCTGCTGGGGGTGTAGGGACTAAGAAGATCACCAATGTAAGATGGTGCTTGTCCATGTAAGGCCCTATAGACCAGAACCAGGATCTTGAAATGAACCCTGAAGTTGACTGGCAGCCAGTGACGTGGGCTCTTCCTGACTTATGCAGCTGATCACGTCAAACTCACAGAAGCAGAGTGATGATGGAAATCTGCTTGGGCTGGAAACCTCCATGAGGGCTTTTTGTTTCAGGACATCTAAAAATCACTCAGAAAACTTGGAGGTGAGGAGAACTTTTAAAACGTAGCAACGAAGCTCCTATTAAACAAATAATACACCAATTAGGCAAAATAAAAGTATGTGAGCTATGAAAATCCTGCAGACTTTACTTTAGGATGAGTTTGGCTCGTGCACTCCAGGGCCACTTTATTAGATACACCTCTTCAGTTGTTTGAACACAGACAGCCAATCAGGTGGCAGCAAGTTGATGCAATTTGGTATCCAGATAATTAAAACTGAGCCTCAAAACACCGGAGGAGGAGGATTTACGGCACTTAGCTGTTGGAGCCAGACAGGCTGGTCTGATTTACTCCAAGTTAAACCAGCTTTCTGAAAAAGATGTGGGGGAAAAGCATGATGTGGATGAAAATGTCAGACTGCACAGCAGCTCAGATCAGCTCCGGTTCCTACTGAGGTCTGCAGAACACCAGCTGCTCCAGATGGACTCCAGCAGCAGAAGACCACACCAGGTGTTTCTCCTGTCAGCTCAGAATCTGAGGCTAGAATATCCACAGGAACACCAGAACTGGACCAGAAGAGACGGGAAAACCTTTCCTGGTCTGATGAGTCTGAATTTGGTGTCACCAACATGAAAACATGGATCCATGAAGACCAAAGGTGACAGATCATCTGCTGCTGTGGCCCCCAGACTCTGGACCTCTCTCCCCCTGAGCCTGAGATCAGTGGACTCAGTGGTCTCTTTTAAAAAGCAGCTGAAGACTCACTTGTTCAGGCTTTGGTGTGACCTTCATCACCACCTTCTCTTTCTTTACATTTTGAATCACAATTGTCTATTTTTGCTATTTTTAAATATATTTTTAATCATTTTCTAAATTCTTTTTTATATTTTTACATTTTTCCGGCACTCGCAGAGTAGAGATGCTTCTGCTTTTGCTCCCTTATCTTTTTTTCCCCAAGGCTCTTTGTCCTGTCTGCCTACAGAGCGCTTCTCTGCATTTCTTCTGAAAATCCCTATTTTTGGAAATGGACTTAATTAACTGGTCATTCAACACGATTGATAAGATTTTTTCTACGATGAGAACGGAGCAGGGGGCTCCCACTTGCCCTCAAGGGACACACGCAGCGGGATATATGTTCGATTCCTGGAAAGAATGGAGGATCGTATGCCTCTCACAGCTGTCCATTGAGGACGTCGAAGATATGTGGATGTTTGGCCTGATGATCACTAGATTTCTTCTGATTGGAGTGGGAGGATATCTGGTTTTCTGGAAATTTGGGAAGACGGGAGCGATTGGAGGGCGACCCGCACCCACGGAAAGCACCGCCCGGGCGGTGACCTCACACACTGGGACGTTACTCGAGGTGAATCGTAAGCTGGACAGTGTTCTAGCTGCGTTACCGGTATTAGTGCGCAAAATGGATGTCATCTCGGAGAGGGTCACCGGACGGTGTGGAGATGTTTAAAACCTAAATTGGCTTCACTGGAGGACTTGAATGATCGGTTGCAGACTGAAGGCAGAGAGGAAAATTATCTCTGCCTGACCCAAACAAAGTCTTGTTATCCAAATCTGACGCCAAGGCAGCCTTCAAGCTGCTAACAACAACCACCCCCCACGAAGGAAGGAATGCAGACAGATGCTGTGAACCCCCCCCCCCCCCCCCCCCCCCACGCCTTCGGATTGTGGACTTCTGGCCAGCAAGGTCATCAGCCTGCAGGAATCAATGTGCTCTGCGCCCCTCCCAAGATTTCCCTCCCTCCTGTGGCTACAGTTGGCTGAGCGCCATACAGGGCTGCTCCCGCTGGGGAAACAGGATCCCAGCCCCCCCCTCTCACCGCCTCCCTATCGGAGTCTCATGTTGTGAACTGTGATGTTCGTGCTTATATGTTTGAAGCGTCTTTTTTGCATAGTAAAGCTACGCCCTGCCGGGAGTAACTCTGGTATGCCTTTTTCCCCCTCCCCCATTTTATCCTCATGTAATTCCCTTTTCATCTATTAAGGTAGCGCGACTCGTGTTGTGAAGGACCGCAGTCACCAATTCTTGTCATGTGTCTTGCCCATGTATGTCTGATCTCTGAAATGTGTGTACTCAAACTCTAATTTCACTCTAGGATTAATAAAGTTTTGACTGATTGATTGATTGATTTTTTGTTTTAGTGAAGCGCCTCGTGATTTTTTATCTTGAGAGACGCTATAGAAATTATATTTTCTTCTTCTTCATTGTGGTGGGCAATCTTCTGGTCTCACTTTGGACCTCGTAGTCCCACCTGAGCCTGGATCAATGAATGAATGAATGAATGAATGAATGAATGAATGAATGAATCAATCAAACTTTATTTATAAAACACTTATCTTATAAAGGATGCAACTCAAAGTGCATTACAGATTAAAGTGACCCTAAATCCCACCCCTCCCACACCATTTCAAACCCCCCGAACCCAACTCTCGTACACACACACACACACACACACACACACACACACACACACACACACACACACACACACACACACACACACACACACACACACACACACACACACGCCAGAATTTGGAAACACTAATGAATCAACATAGAATCTATGGTTTGTTTTATTCAAGACAACATCCCATTCAGGGGGAGGAACTTAAAACCTATACTGCAGCCAGCCACTAGGGGGTGCTTTGTTTCACATCAGCTTTGTTTGGTTCTTGTTTCTAGTGCAATATAATGTGTTTGTTTCAACTAAATTTGCATTATATGATGTTAATATAAATTGTTTCTGTCACTCAGGGGTGACGGGATTAGTCACCATCGATGACAAAAACGCAAGAAATATAGACGTGGACCTGTGGACAATGACTAACCAGGAAACAGGAGAGTTTGGGGTAAGTTACGTTTATTTTTTTCATTTATGTTTTTTAACTCCAGTGTAGTTTTTAAAAATAAATCTCTCATCTTATGAGATCAGTTTGGACTATTAGGGCTTATTTAAGGCTTTAATCTTTTTCTTCAGTTAACAATCCCATAAGAGCTGACGGTGTTGGAATGACATTAGAGTAAAGTTTTTAACTTTAATTTATTTTTAATTTACTAAAAATAGTTAGAAATAAACAGCTTTTGTGGGACAAATTTAGTTTATTATCTTCCAGTGTTTAATTGATAATCTCATATTTTATTTGCGTTAAAATATTTCTCTCAGATTTGTTTTGGTCGAACATAATCTTCCATTTGAACTCTAAAGACAAAAAATGCTGAATTAAGAGCTGCTAATAGCAGTAGAAGAATAAAATTGTGTTTTATTGGGATGTCTTTCCATTTTTTATGCAGATGACACTCAGATTATGATCCAACGAATCAGCAAAACAATTGTTCTGCAAATAGAGTGTTGAGGGGCAAAAGCTTGGATGTCGTGTAACTTTTAGCATTTCAATGACAAAAGACTGAGGCTTTGCTGTTTGGACACAGGGTGGATAGTCCAAAACCTCACGTAGATCCGGGCTCACCAAATCAGTACGTGTTAACCAACCTTGAAGTACAGCTTAAATCTGACACTCGTATAAATTCAGTAGTCAGGACTTTTCCATTTAAGACAGCGAGCTAAGGTAAAACCTTCCCCATCACTGTATCCCTTTGAAATGCTGATTCATGTTTTATCACCGCTGGGTCGGCGTTAGGATGCTCTATGTCAACCAGAAATCAGCCTCCAGACTTCAGCTGGTTCTAAATGCCACCGCTCGGCTTTTAACTGGTACCAGAAGGCGTGAACACATCACATTCATCCCTCAGTATCTGGCCGCTCCGCTGCAGTCATACATTCCCTCACGCTCACTCAGGTCAGCAGATCATTTGCTGTTAGTCGTCCCAAAAACAAAGACGAAGTTGAGAGGTAATCAATCATTCTCAGTTGCTGCCCGCAATTTGTGGAGTAGTCTACCACTACATATCTGACAATCTGAGTCTGTGTTTTTAGCTATTCCCTTAAAGGTGTGGTTCACTGAAAAAAAATACTTATTTTCTTTAAATGATTATTTCTGATTCTAACGGGTCACTCTGAGTGTTTCATGCAGGCTGTACATGAAAATAGTCTCCTACACCTATCTCCTGCATTAGCTTCTGACAGAAAACAGATGGTGAAACTCTAGAATTAGAAAATCCTGACAGATCTACGTCACACTGTCACTTTTTCTCTTAACTGATGGCACCATCTAGTGGCTGACAAGCATATCACACCAAAAGTCTGTCAATCCGTTTTTTTAAGATGGTGACTCAGGGTTTCTTGTTTGTAAATGTGCTTCTGTAGCCGACAAACAGAGCTAAACACATTTTTTTTTACAAGAATTATTCTCATGTCATGTTGTGCTTTCATATTTTTATGTTTTAACTCATTCACTGCCATTGACGACTAAAGTCGTCATTTGCATGTTTTTACTGTGTGGGCGTCGGACGAGCCCCCGCACCGTGAGAACAAACATCTCAGCTTTAAAGCTGCTCCTCATCCACATACGTCACACGTCACGTGATCAGGAAGCAGAACATCCATGTGTTAGGAGATCGTTTTTGGGCCGCTGCTGTAAAAAAAGTGAGGCGCGAACCGGAAAAGCATCTGCTGATCACAATTCAACAACGGATTATGAAAAAATGGATAACGCGCGGATTCTTCCTGATGTAAGAGGTGAGTCTCCACTTTGTTTTGGAAGTTTTGGCGTCGACATCATCCTAGCGCGCAACGTTCGGTGACTCTTAAATAAACAGTGAAAACGGTGAGAAACGCTGGCAGCAAAGGGCTTTACCGATCAGGAAACGGCTGGCAGCGAATGAGTTAAAGACTTACTTGTCTGTGAAAAGTTCATCAACTCTGCATTAGCTGAGGTACTTCCTTAAATTTGAAGCAGTTAAGCGGTAGTCTAACGCTAGTGGTTAGTTCTGGTCAGTTTCCTATTGCACGAAGCTCTGCGGGATAGGGGGCGTGCTTAGAAACAAAAAAAAAAGACGTATCGCTTACATTATATCACAGTTCATGGTAAGACAATCACTTTTATGGATTTCTGAAAAATCATACATAACTTTTGGAGAAAACTCCGGAAAGCTACTAACCGTTAGCATTAGCAACTACACCACACAGCAGAACTCCTCCAGGCTTGTGTTATTTGTGGAGATAAAACTTTAATGTTGCAGAGCAAACAGAGTCAGTGGTAGAGTCGCGCTGCTGTTAGCCAATCAGAGGGGAGATGTCCACCTATCAGGAAATAAGACTACAGATCCTGTCATCTGAAGTAGGGATGCAACGATACCACTTTTTTCCCAACCGATACGATACGATACTTGGATCTGGGTACTCACCGATACCGAATACCAATACAGATACTTCTACCATACAAAAAATGCAATGATTTGGAATACAGGTTTTATTTTCTTCTCTGATTTCAACAGGAAAAGACTGTGAGGTAGATAAAAAGTAAAATATATGAATGGAAATCATAACAAAACTAAAATATTAGGTGAACAGAAATGACAAGTTACAGTGAAGCCATTTTCAAGCAACTGCATTGGTATCAGTTCCTGGTATCGGTTAACTTCTACCGATACCGATACTGGTATTGGTGCTGATACCGATACCAGTATCGTATCGGTGCATCCCTAATCTGAAGCTAAACTCTGATCTTGATGACTTAAGAAAATGATGCGCCGCTGCTTTTCCCTCCAGAGTACAACTTAAAAGATTTGTACTAGAACCCACCGCTGATGTAGACGTTCATCGAGTGATCCGCACCGTTAAAGCTAATTTTTTCCCACTGGCTTTTAACTCAACATGATGTGTTGGTTTTCAGGTACTCTGTTTTACTACTTTACCTGTTTTTTGTGTTTGTACATATGGACTATACCTATAAGATGTACACCACTTTGGTCAATGGTGCTGTTTTTGCTTTTGGTGAGATGAAATCAAATCAAATGTTTAATATCATGAACACAAAGCAGATGTTGGTGTCTGAACAGAACTTTGAGGTCTTAACTCCTCTAAAGATGAGATGAATAAAACCTCAAATGCTGCTGTAAACGGTTCTCATGCTCATGTCCGTTTTTTCCTCTGAGGGGTGAAGAAGTGGGTTAGCTACATTTGACTTCAGTTAGAATTTGACAGCAGTCCTTGGGGCGATCAGCGTGACTTCCTGGTCTCATTTCTCTTTGCTTTTAATGGGTTCTTTCATATTGACCCAAGTTAGCAGCCGACTGGCTGAAAGCATCAGAAACGCTTTCAGCCTTCCGGATCTCAGGGTTGGTGGGCAGTTACGATACCTGAGGTGTTTTCTTATGGTTATGGATGTTTGGATTCATGTGTGGATTCATTTAGGTTTTATTTCATCTTTAGTTTTTCATTCATCAGTGTGTCAAACTCGTACTTAAAGATCACTAATGAGAGTAAATATTTCCAGAATGCTGTTCTGTTATTGGACTTCTGTGTAAGATGCAGTTTGGTCATAACAAATATATTTGAACATAAGAATGCCCATCGGTACACATGGTGCCTGGGCAGCCTTGGTCACAGGTCAGTGATTGACCTTGTACTCATCTGACCTGTGGCCGTATGTTTTGGACAATTGGATGAAGGTAAGAGTGACAAATCACCACCTGGTAGAGAGTTGAATCAGATGGCATGGGAGGACAACACGTAGAACTGCTTGACCAAAACCTAGGGTGAGGATATGCTGGGAAGGCCTGAAGGAAGAACCTTCAAAATAGTCTTCAACTCCCATGTCTGGCAGTGCTTTCCTGTGTCCCACTGGGGTGAGTCTGAATTGGCCTTGTGGATGCAGCTAGTTGTCCACATAGTTGACCATCCCATCTAAGAACAGGATGGGAGGCAGATATTTTAGTTATCAGGCTCCTCTCCTGTGGAACCAACTCCCAGCTTTAGTCCGTGAGGCAGACACTTTGTCTACTTTTAAGAATAGGCTTAAAACATTTTTATTTGATAGGGCCTATGGTTAAAATCTGATGTTAGCCTAGATCTGGACAAGTGGGGGAGTAGAGGGAGGTGGAGTGTACAGTCGGTAAAGACGACTCTCCCTTGCCCTGCCTCCTACATGCCTCCATCTAAAAGGCTAGGTTATCCAGAGTTATCTCTGTAGTTATGCTGCTATAGGCTTAGACTGCTGGAGGACACACTGACCTCTAGGGATGAGCGAGTACACCACTATCTGTAACTGTATCTGTTCAACCATCTAAATTATCTGTATCTGTATCTGTACTCGGAATGGGCGTGGCATAACCCGGAAGTGGGCGTGGTTTACATCAATATATTATTTCAAGTCTGAAATTGATATGGATTGATCAGAAGTTGATATGTGTATTGTTTATTTGAAAACTATTTACAGAGCAGCTTCAGAACTGATATTAAATATTTTTGATCACAATAGTAAAGAAATTATTTCAGAACAAGTGTTTCAATAAAACCAGAACATTAATGTTTAAGTGCATGAATTAATACATCTGAACTCATGCAGTAGGAACTAGGAAATATGAAATGCTAGAACCAGACACTTTATATATTTTTTTATTTTAATTTGATTAAACAGATTTTTTTCTTAATGTTCTTGGCGTTTTCCCACACAAAGTTAAACAAAACAATGTTGATTAAGGTGTGTGTGTGTGAGAAAGAGAGAGGCAGTTAAAAAAAAACCCCGACCGGAGCGGAGGCAGTGACTGACGCAGCACGTCGGCTCTGTCTTGTCAAATGCACCACGTACATTACGAAAAAGTAACTTTAAATATTAAACTGAAAAAGAAGCAAACTGAAGAAAACCTAGGGAGTTCTGAAGAAACGTGAGCAACAGTGAAGCAAGCACAGAGAGATCCGTTACTGTGTGTGTGCGTGGATGAGCCGGACGGACTGAGGTCCCGGCCGGCTAGAGAGTTTTGTGTGTAGGGAGGGGCGGGCGCTCTATGTGACTGGCCAATCACAATGCGTGAAGACAGTCAGTTACCCAATGAGGATTTTCTTTCAGCACGATTACAGATATTTATGAGTTTTACTCATTTCATGCTCGTATTCGTCAAAAATGCTTTATCTGTACCGGATACTAGTCTGAGACGAGGATCCGGCTCATCCCTACTGACCAATTTCCACACTCGACTACTTTCTTCTACAATCTGCTCTTTAGCTGTATGATTTCCTGCTATTTCAGCTGTTAACTTTATTTTTTCTCTAAGTGTTTTTCTCCCTAAGTGTGGTGGCCTCATGAAGGGGGCCGTAGGCTAGCACACTGCTGCTAACCACTTAAACATTCTCCATCTCCTGACAGGGACGAAATTTTGATTTCAGAAGTGGGGGGGACACAGCAGGCTTGTGCGGATTTGGGGTGGGGGGTTTTATGTAAAGACCCCTTGACACATCACGTGCCCATCTCAATAATTTTTCCATCCTCAATATATATATATATCAAAGTTAAAAAATGTACAACTCTATTATTATTTTTATTTATTATCATTATTGAAGAGCAGTTTTGGCTGTTGACAATGGATAGGCCATTGTATTTATTGTTTTGGGTCTTTTTTTATTGTTTTTGGTGCAACATTTTCTAACCGGGAGTGAGATTCCATTTTTATTTAATTTTTGTTTGTTATTTTCATTCATTTAGAAGTTCTGGTTCTGGATATTTCAATGTTAAATGAAGGTTTATTTATTGCATTTTAAAGGGTGTACTTGCATTATTATGATATATTAACATTATATTAGTGGTTATTTTGGTCTAGATAATGTTGACAATGATATCGTTTATCATCAACAATTTGTTGGACAAAATATTGTCCAGCAAAATTTGTTACTTTCCCAGGCCTAGTCAAAAGTATAAAAATTATTTATACATAAACGGTCCCTCCTGAGATCTGGCCGTTTGTTCATTTGCTGTGTTAGAGGACATGCTGAACTAATGTTTTACACATGATCATCACCCTAACATTTGAGTGTATAAAAACATATTAAATATGTTTTTCCCTTAAAAGTGTTTAAACAGTTGTTGCATTTCAACACACAAAAAATAAAAGGAAAAAATAAGATAAATCTAATGAAAAGTGTACATCTTTGACATTAAGCTTAAAAAAATCTGTTGACGATGATGATACTGTTCATTTTTCAGAGCTTTTTAATGTGAAAATATACATTGCAATAGATAAGTTTACAATAAAGTTAAATGATAAAAGTTTTGAAGTTACACTTCTACTACTACTACTACTAGTAATAATAATTATGATGATAATAGTAATAAAAAATAATAATAATTATAATAATACGAATAAATTGTGTCTGAGGAGTCAGTTATGTGGAGGAGATGAGTTTGTAAAAGTTAGTTTTGAGTCTGTGAAGGAGGAGGTGAGTGAGCTTAATGCAGGTCTGTCACATGTTCCAACTTACGTTTTGACTTTGAAAGAAGTCTCTTATATCCACTTTTCGGTTTCTTGACATGCTGCCTCCTGGCTGTGCATAACTACCAAAGACTCACAAATGAACACTTATTCAAATGTTATGTAATGGAAGCTGAGCTGAGCTCTGATATTACACAGCGTCTAGTTGACGATGTGACTCAGTACCGGTGTTCCCTAGCGGCTCCAAACTAGCAAAACAACGTGAGCACGTTCTGACTGTTTACAACTTGAGTGACAGCAGCAACAGCCAATAATACGTTAGCAAGTATCAGCAGAGCCAATAGATTAGCTTTTGGGCGGGTCTAATAGGAAACCGGTTTCCGTTTCGGTCCTAGTGCTCAACCAAATCCTTTTAATGGAGCGTAATATTGTTTTTGGACGGAAAAAAGTGCAGGGGACCAAAACTGCCTTTTGAAAAAGTGGGGGGGACATGTCCCACCCGTCCCCCCCCAAAATTACGTCCCAGTCTCCTGATAATAACTTTTTGCTTTCCTTGACGTTGAATGTGCTACTACTAGTTTACCCGTTTAATTATAGATCCACTAGGATAAATACAATAAAGTTTATCTCTCACCAAATAGAATATTTACTAAGACATCACAATGTTACCATAGAAACACTACCTGGTATATATATATATTGTGTGTGTGTGTGTGTGTGTTTGTGTGTGTCGGCTCTGTCTTGCTGCTTATACTGAGCCAGGATTCTCTGGAGGTTTCTTCCTGTTAAAAGAGAGTTTTCTTCTCCACTGTCGCTGCATGCTTGCTTAGTATGAGGATTGCTGTAAAGACTCTGACACTAGTCAGTGACTCGATGCGACCTGCTGGGTTCCTTATATAGGAAACTTTTTACTGATTGGCTTAATGACCTGACCTGTATTGGATTATTTACTGCGTGAAAGTCCTCGAGACGACTCTTGTCGTGATTTGGCGCTTTATAAATAAACTTGAATTGAATTGAAGTTGTCATAACGTTGCTGGTGCTAGCCCTGGTGGTAACCCATGGACTCAATGGTGGACATCATAGGTTAGGGAAGCTGTTGGGCTGATGAAGGAGGCCTACAGGGCATGGTTGGTGTGTGATCTTCCAGAAGCAGCTGACAAGTACTAAAGGGCCAAGCAGTTTGCAGCGGTGGCAGTTGCTGAGGCAAAAATTCAGGTATGGGAGGAGTTTGGTGAGGCTGCTTAACCAACAACAGCCTTCCCCATCATGAGTCAAGATGGGCGAGTCCATGAATGTTAAGTGACAGTGTCACGTAGATCTATCAGGCTTTTCTAATCCTAGAGTTTCACCGTCTGTTTCCAATCATATTCTATTTTCATCTTTCGTTTAATGTTCCACGACACTATCGTTGTTCTTATCGTCAGTTTTGTGGTTGTGTTCAGCACCTTGGGCTTCTGATAAGCTCGTGGAAGATGCTTTATAAATAAATAAAACTGAACTGAAACTGAGAAGCTAATGCAGGAGATAGGTGTAGGAGACTATTTTCATGTTCAGCCTGCATGAAACACTCAGAGCGACCTGTTAGAATCAGAAATAATCATAAAAATGTTTAATTGTATTACTAGAAAGAATGACTGAAATGGAAGAAAATAAAATCCATGAGAGAAATAAATGAGCTTTGCAGCTCACAATGGAGCGCTAAGACAAGATGGCCTTCAGTAAAAATGGTAAATGGTCTGTATTTGATATAGCGCCTTCTAGAGTCCTGGAACCCCCCAAGGCGCTTTACAACACAATCAGTCATTCACCCATTCACACACACATTCACACACTGGTGGTGATGAGCTACGATGTAGCCACAGCTGCCCTGGGGCGCACTGACAGAGGCGAGGCTGCCGAGCACTGGCGCCGCCGATCCCACCGACCACCACCAGCAGGCAAGGTGGGTTAAGTGTCTTGCTCAAGGACACAACGACAGCGACAGACTGAGCAGGGCTCGAACCTGCAACCTTCCGATTGCGGGGCGAGCTCTTAACTCCTGTGCCACCGTCGCCCCTCGCCGACTCTTCCCCTCGGCTAAAGCACAGCAGCTTTTTCAGACAAGGATCGTCATCAGCCATCACTTCCTACGTTGTTCTGATCAATCAATCAATCAATCAATCAATCAATTTTATTTATGAAGCACTTTTCAAACAAAGTGTTTTACAAAATGACCCCAAATTCCCATAACAGTTTAAAAACATTAACAGACATATGCACACACATGCACGCACACACACACACACACGAACAACACACACACACACACACACACACACACACACACACACACACACACACACACACACACACACACACACACACACACACACACACACACCAGTAAAAATTTACATTCGGCTGAGTCCAGATGAGCCAAGTAAGGTAAGTTAAGGAAACGCCATCAGAGGAGCCGTCTGCCCCGGCAGCATCAGGCCTTCCACAGCAACTAAGCCAGGGCGCTCAGACGACCTTTGTCATGGGTGAAAGCCTCAAAGGGCTTTTGGAGACAGGACACAAGTTGTTAAGGGCGAGGGTGAAAAACACACTAAGTCCTCCAAGCAATGGTGTGAACAACAAATTATTATTATTTTTTTAAAAGCAGAAAGAGAACAAGAAATTTGCTCAGATAATCAGTTCCTAACTTTGGAAAGGTGTGTTACAGGATTTGTTTCCTTGGTTGGTAGGTCGTGGCTTACTTCAATGGAAGTACCAAGGAGATCATCTGGTCCCAGACAGAGAAGATCCACTGGCCCAGTGGAGGACCACCACTAGATAATCCTCCTTGTGTCTTCTCCACTGACGATCCTTCCTGCAACGACGGTACGTATGTGTCATTAAGCCCTTGAACACTTGAACTATCCCTAACCCAACAAAACAGGAATGAGAACAGGAGGCTAAATGCTAATGTTAGCATGCTACTGAGAAAAAACACATAATTACTTGTACAGGAGAAAATACACTTTCATACCTCCAAGGCTGGGAAACATTCCCAAAAAGGAACAAGAACTCTAAAATTAATTATATTTTTTTGTTACATTTTAATTACAGCTGACCTAGATGGTGTTTTATTTAGAAAGGTTTGGGACAACTACAATAAATAAATGAATCAAATATAAAGCAATGCTATTTCTATTCAAATTAGAATCTGAAAATCCTCTCCCGGTTTAAGGAAATCTACAGAAACCTTCTCACACAGCACTCGTATAAGCAGCTTCAGGTCTGGTTAGCTGATTTCAAAATGTGATTCTGCACGCGAGTCTGCCTAAAGGGGAAGAGTGTCTTTGTTCTTCATCCTTTAAGACCTGCAGATCTTTCTCTCTGTCACTTCCATCCTTGCTGTGAACATTTTCTGTTTGTGCAGAGCGATCAGACGCTAATTGAGTGAAAACTTCTCTAGCATGCTGCACATGTTTCACGCTGTTTGCTTTGAAGTGTGATGCTGACAAGGAGCAGATAGCGGGAGTGAGAAAATCACAATAAACTCATGAACTTTACAAAGTTAGGGAGAGTTTCATTGGATCAACTTTGACTTTTCACTAAACGTTCTGGAGTAACCTTTAAAAAACCAAGACACAGAACTTCAACATATAAATGACAAAAACCAGTAAAACAAGTCCAAAAGTCACAGGAAACCCTAAAAACAACAGTTTTGTTGTTGTTTATTCAACAGCTCCTATGCTGTTCTCTATCATCTTGTATTTCCTCATATGAGAGTAAAAAGTAGATTGTTAAACCTGGGTTTGTGTTGACATTTAAACAAGAAAAAACACTGATATTAAACATAATGGACCATGTTCCTGGTAGCAGAGGTCTAAATGTGTTCGCATGTTTCAGAGCCTCTTTAGATAAGGTCAAGGTCAATTTTATTTATAGAGCACATTTACAGCAGCAAAGCTACACCAAAGCGCTGCACAAGGTAAACAAACCAAGATAGAACAGATCAACAATAAAAACCTAAAATAAGATGAGCACACAGCAGTCACAATCTGTAATAAAAACTGTTAAGATGCTCAAGTCAGCCTGCATTAAAAGCCAAATAAAAAAAACCAGCGACGGCACGAAACCCAGGACCGACTCAGGCTCAGAAGTCGGTTTGTGCTTTTTTGGTTCCTTTTATTGTGGGCCACTCTGTAGCCAGGATTCTTCTGATTTCTGTGTTTTATGACTCTGTTCTTTGCTGAACCGCATATTTAACCTGCTGAAGATTGAAGATGCTCCTGGTGAATCCCGGAGACCCGTTTAGGACGGCAGCAGTAAATCTTAACAGCTTCTGGTGTTGGCTGAGTTTTAATTCATAGCATCAGCTTAAGCCGTGATTTACAGCCAGACTTAATTATGAACAAACATGGGAGCCGTGAAGCTGTTCTGGTGGTTTGACTGACTGCAGCGGTGCAGCCGGACTCCAGGAAGTCAGCTGAGATTTACACAGAACCAAATTCTTTCTCTGAGAAGCGCCGATGGACATCTGCTGAACATACGACGGCGTAAGACTTTTTCTTTTTTATGTCTCCTATTCCAGGTCAGCTGCCAGTTCTGGGTATCGTAGCCGTTGGCTCTGGATTGGCGCTTATCATTTTTGGGATCTCCAGTTTCCTCATTTACAGGTGAGTTTGATGACATCATGGCACTTCCTGTCTGTGCTGCTTTTCACTCAAATTCTACTTAAAGATCAAAAGGGTGAAACAGCGGGGATAGAGACGGAGAAAAGTGTTTGAACTGGGAGTTCTTTGGGTTCTGCTTCGGTATTTATACAGTGGTTGCCACAGCAACGGCTCAGCAGGTGACGGTGCTGAAGCAGCAGCAAAGTGTGCTTAAGCTGCCAAGTGAGATCATGTTCTGGCCCCAAAAGCTGCCACTCTCATTTAACGATGGTATTTTCCTCAGTCTGTGTTTTAAAAAGGCCCGTATTTGTAGACTTTTATGTGATTTTTTTTCTAATAAAAAATATTTTGTATGACCAGAAAAATGTATACATTTCTAACTGTTGCCATAACTACTCAGTGTGTGTATCTGTAGTCACACATCACACCCAAACAGGCAAACGCGGTCCTTCCACGTCACGTTTTAGACTTTTAAATTCATGCACGCCCGTAAAAGATTTTAAAGTCTTGTTAAGCTTAGCTCTATTTTATAAAAAGGCTGTTTAAACGTTACGACTCTTAATTTCACTTTGCTGTTTTACACCATATTTTACCAAACAGAGTTGATGCATTCAAAGATACTTTATTAATCCCAGAGAGAAATCAGAGTTTCAGCACACACAATTCAGAGATCAGACATACACGGGCAAGACACATGACAAGAATTGGTGACTGTGGTCATTCGCAACCCTGAGTCGCGCTACCTTAATAGAGATCAGAGGGTTACATGAGGATTGGTTCAGGTGGAGGGAAAAAAAGGCACTTCAGAATAGGGCCCGACCGATATATCGGCCGATATAGAGGTCATTAACACTATCGGCTATCGGCCAAAAAGACGAACAAGTAAGTAACATTGACCTTTTTCTGGTAGACATTCTGGAATATTGTCAGACAACTTCCTCCGCTCTTCAGCAGTCTTTTCAAACTCACGTGGTTCACCCGCGGCTCGCGAAAAAAATAATGCAGGCGCCGAAACGATCGCTGCACGGCGCGGGCTGGAGCGCCGGCGCGCAGCGCTTCGGCGGCCCATGTGGCCTATAGAATAAGATAACAAGGGCGACGAATGAAGGCGGTCCCCATTTCGCGGCGCTTCGGCGGCACACGACCGTTGTCGCAGCTGAGGACGGGCGAGGGGGGGTTGGCAGCAAAGCAATGAAACGCTGTGCAGGGAGTCCCCCCTCCTCTCCCTGGCTGGGAGAGGAGGGGGGGCGGTAATACGAGAAAATAAACATTCCTCTCTACAGTAGAATAAATCTATTGTATTTTTCAGCCTTATATTTTACATAAGGCTTATACATTGCCACATACTAGTCATTTAACGTATCTTATTTTTATTTTCCTAATACTGTCGGCTTTGGAAAGGATCAAAACACAAAAGTGTAAAACTCCACAGACTCAGAAAACAAAAAACTTGAATGTTAGATTTATACTGACTGAGTTTGTGTGTTCTGTTGTTTTTGAGATTGCTAAATAAATCTTATTTGCATTACTTGGAAACCCTAGTGAGTTATTGAGACACTTCTTTGGTGTGTAACAGAGAAATAAGTTAGCATCAAAAAGGCAGAGGATGAAGGGTTTAATCTTAAGAACATTTGTATTTATTTCTTTTTTGTGAGGGACATTTATCGGCCATTATATCGGCTATCGGCCTTTGTTAAAAGTTTTATATCGGTATCGGTCCCCAAAAAAGCATATCGGTCGGGCCCTACTTCAGAGTTACCCTCCCCCAGGAGGGCAGCTTTGCTCTGCAAAAAAACACCTCAGACAGAAATGCAACAGACTTCAGACAACACAACATAAGTGTCTACTAGGTGGGGTGGTGGGTTGGGACTATCCCCACTTCAGTTCCTGCAGCCACGATAAGCAGCGCATGTCACCTCAGTGTGGATAGGGGGGGGGGGGGGGGGGGGGGCATTGAGGGTTGGAGGGTTGCAGTGACCCTGCAACGTTTCAGCGGCCTTCCAGCAGTCCCGCCCAGGCTGGGAAAGGAGGCAGAGTTGAGTTGCCATAGCGACGGCACATTCCACATATCTTCTGAGGGGGGAGTTTTCGTTGGAGCCTTGCAGGCTCAAGGGCGCCAGATTCCGATTAGAAATTGTTTTGGGGCCAGACAGATAATTTCCTCTCTGTCTTACAGTTTGTTGGTCCTCAACCTCTCAAAATCCCAATAATGGATGTTAATCTATCCCAATCCATGCTGATTCGTCCATTCTCTCCTTGATGGCATCCATCTTTGTGCCAATGAACAAATCTCCGCCAAAGTTCCAAGCTTACAATTCATCTCGACAATTATTTGAGTCTGTGAATTCACAGCTGAACATTGCTAAGCGTACGTAGCACACTCAGCAGATTTCTGATTCTGGAAACTCAGCAAAGAGTTGATAAAATAATTCTCGAGAGGAGCCAGTTGAGGCGGCTCGGGCATCTGGTCAGGATGCCTCCTGGACGGCTCCCTGGTGAGGTTTTCCGGGCACGTCCAACCGGGAGGAGACCTAAATGTAGACCCAGGACACGGTGGAGGGACTATGTCTCTCACCTGGCCAGGGAACGCCTTGGGATTCCCTGGAGGAGCTGGCCCAAGTGGCTGGGCAGAGGGAAGTCTGGGCCTCTCGCCTTAGGCTACTGCCCCCGCGACCCGACTCCGGATAAGCGGATGAAAATGGATGGATGGATGGATGGAAGTAGTGTTGAAATGTGGTAATGTAGTGATGAGTCAGCAAAAGCTGTGAGGAGGGCTCACAGTTTAGTTTTGCTCGACTCTTCCATGAGAATCAGTCTGACGGCCATTTACTGCCTGTATGACCCCCCCCCACACACACACACACAGCTATATGGTTTTCTCATGTAATCCTATTTTATCTGTTGCAGTCGGCTCTTCAGTTTGTAGTCACAGATTCGTTCTGGCCTGACTGACGGGCTAACGGCTAGGGAACCTGCTCCGTTCTTAAAACCTTCACAGCGACTTGTGAAAATATGATTCTACAAACCTGTGATGCCTCTTCAGATCATGTTATGTAATATTTCCATCATAAAAATGGAGCTGCAGCTAAAAAAACGTAAAAATCTAGCTAAAAAACAAACGCGACGACGGTGCTGGAATGCAGTTTTTGGGATTTTGGAGCAGGCTCCTCTTGGACTAGCCGTTATCCTGTTAATCCTGTCAGAACTAATCTGTGTCTCCAAACTGAAACTGATCAATATGCTTCCTACAACAGGTAAAACACCTGCATTATCCCTTTAAGATGCTTACTAAGCATCCCTCTGTGTTTAAAATTTCAGTAGTTGAATTTAAAAAATGACACCATTAGGAGTTTGGCTAATGGTTGAACTGGGATAATCGAGCCCCTCAGCTGTTTAGCTTCACGGGGAACTTTTTTAAAGAGCAAGTCACCCCCTACCAGATTCTTACTCCACTCCCACTTCCTGTTTGAAAAATGCAACAAATGCTGTTGCGTAGCAGACCGAGAGGGCGGAGCCGCTAACAAATACACACACAGGCTCACAACAACATTGTGACATCATATGGTACCAGATAACATTCTAGGGTACCTCTTATCCAATAGCGATGGCAGATTTAAATTCAACAACAGTGCAGAGTTTTTACCTGACGACGGCACAACACTGACAGTTTTAGGGCAGAAAATTAAAATTTAAACTAAAATGCACTAAAGTGCAAAACTATTGACTACACCTGTCTGCAGCATCTGCAGCAAGGAAATAAAAGTTGTTTTGGGGGTGACTTGCTCTTTAACGGTTTACATGTTGTGCTCAGCTTTCAGCTGTATAAATAAAATAGTTTCAGTCGACATCTTTGTGTTGTAGCATTAAGCCTTGTTTAATTACACCAGTGGAAAATCATGCATGCTCCTGGTAATTAAGCTCCTGCAGGAGCTTCTTAAGCCCTGGCTAATGTCACGGGCGTATCTGCGAGTAAGGACAGGAAATGAATGTTTCTGCTTCTTCTTCACTGATCTTATAAATGCACTGACCTTAAAGATGGGCTGATCTTTACGCCGCTGCACAGCTAACAAAATCACGTGGATAATCTGAATATGTATCTAATACTGACCATTAACACAAACCAGTGTTAATCACCAGCCAATCAGAATGGATTTTGATCAGAGGAGTAGCAGAAGAAAGATGGAGGAGCAGCTTTCCACCTGAGGTAATTTCACTAAATCTGAGTTAATCATGGCACAAAAATCAAATAACTAACAGATAATTAGATGCAGGGGGTGAATTTAATCCCAAATAAATTAGCTTCTTCTTCTTCTCTTTTATTCCTCAGCTCACAGTTCAGCGAGCGCTGCAAGGTTTCCAAACTGGCTAGCTAGTTTTCCTGAACTGGTCGGGTAAGTTTGTGTCTTTGTACAAAAATATAATAATAAAAATAAATGATTGCATCCAGGTTTAACATCAATGACAACAAGTATCTATTTCTATTGTGGGAGTGGAAAGAAGGCAACTGTGATGCATTTGTGGTCCTGACCCACATTTGGGAACTTTCAGCTCTAAATTTAGAATATTCCACAAACTTTGAACAGACCTGAACAGCGAGCCCCTTATTGGACTTAGAAGCAACTTCACGCTCCCAAATGACATTAAGCTGTAGAAGTAAACCTCCAGAGAGAAGCTGAGCCTCTTTCCTGAATTGAATTTCACGTGTCGGAGTTGTTTAAAAGCAGGAGCTAACGGATCACTTCCTGTTTTTGCAGACAGCAAAGCAAGCTTTCACCATGGACCCAGAGGTGGACGGCGGAGCTTCCCAAACATCGGCCAGCTGCCGAGGGGCGTTTGACATTTTTAGAACTTGACCTACAAATACGCCACTAAAACGTTTTACGTGTGTTGTCACTGTCGGTACTTTCTCAGAACAGAAGATAAGCTTCTCAACCTCAAGGTGCAATTCTTACATCTAGGATGCTCAAACATAATTTTATATTTTTGATAAGAAATAAAGTTTT